AGGTTCATGTTAATCTAATGATAATGGAAGCCCGTAACCAGGCCGAATTACTCTATGCTTTGCGCGAGATTATGCGCTATATGACTTGATCTCATTAAGTGATTAAAGATATATACATACAAATACATATACATAACTAAAAACAATCAAAAACACGCATGCATACACCATATAGTTAACAATATATATATATATATATATATATTAAAGGCTCCGCACAGAGAGTTGATGACGAGTTTCTAATTGTACAAGAGCATTCAAGAACATAATTAAATGACAAAATAGACCCGATTCAAAGTAGTTGCAATAGATCCCATTAAAATTTGTGTCAATGTGTCAATCAATGTCTCATCTATATATATAGTAGAGTCTAATCCAGTTCGTCAATGTCTACTTTTTGTGTATAAATTTTTAAATATACTACAGCTGTTTATGAAATTACCTGTTGCACTAACAAAACCAGAAGAAAGAGATAAATAAGTGTGTAACATATGGCCATTGGGCCACATTTGAACTCAATGCTTAAGAATTTGGCAATGATTGAATCTAAGGATTGGGTTTTTCTGTTTCCTTAAAATGCTTGCAGCAATTACTGTACATATGTATTATGTTTTGTTAAACATTTTAGTAAAATAAATACATTTTTATTTTAATTACAATTTGTTTCATTTCTTTATTTTTGCACGTTATTTAATTTTTAAAAGCGGTATCTATTTTCATATGTAAGCTTCACTTTGATAGAGAAATCAAACGGATCGTCTAAGTCTTTGAGCTTTTCTTCTAAAGACATAAATAAATATTATATTTTGATAGTATTTAAAATAAGAATTTAAAGTTATATGTCCTGACTGTAATGTGAAATGCGCATCTAAAAATTATTTAGACATGAAATGTCTATACCTATGTACTTGTATTAATCATAATCCCAAGGTATGTATTAAATTGTATATAAAGAAATGGAAAATGCATATATATATATATATATATATATATACGTATATATATTAAAATATATATTTACGTATTCTATAAGTAACAAAGAAATGGAGAGCATATGGAACTTATGAAACAAGAGTTTCAACTCAATAATTTAAGGATCTAAAAATAAACATGAAACACGTTTGTTTCTTGTAAAGTGAAAATTTGAAATTCTTTAAATGCTTATACTAAAATGAAAAACTTGCTAAAATCACATAATATTATATACGAATGCATTGTTTCATACAAGTTTTACAAACAATATATAAAGTTTTAAAAATTAATTAGAATAGCCTCTACCAAATATTTAGTGGTAATTAGCCACCATCTTTCGATCATTCGAAGATAAATATTCAATTTAGGTAGTTAACTTTAAGTATTAATACAAATATTCACATATACATTAACAGACGACGAAAAGTTGGATATCTTTGTTTATCCATGAAAGAGTTTCTATTGCATTTTGCTCCTAAAGTCAATAAATTTGACTTACAGGAAGAATATCAAGGTTTGCTGAACGATATATAGCATTGAGCTTAACTTCGTCTTTGACATATTACGTGAATGTTTTAAAAAATCTGAAATAATTCATTTAATAAGTAGATTTAGCTATTACATAAGTGTATAAAGACAAAGAAAACGAATGTTTTAAACAGGTTTCCTGAAAACGAATACATAAGTAATTTACGAATAACCTAAATATAAAGTTTAACGTAGTTTAATGCGAGTTAGCACCGCTTGTACATAAAGCTAACGAGCTATATACCATTCAAAGATGTGATTTTAACAAATATATATACGTAAACGTATACCCTTGCATATAAATAGTTATACAAAATGGGGATATATATATTTGACATAGACATATGTATGTAGATAATACTTTTGCAAATAGGAACTTCGATTTCATTGTCTCATTTTTTTCTATGATTTTTATAAATGGAACGAACAGTGCAACTCATAGGTGAAAGATGCTCGTATGTCTATTTATTATTGTATTTACAAAGCTCAAAATATGCGAGAAGGCTGTTAAACTCTATACTTAATAGTTTGAATAAAATAGGATAATCAATATAAATAAATATTTATGTCTGATTAACTTTGTGACTGTTTGCTTAGGACTTCCCTAACTGTAAAAGCTGCTGTATCTAAAAGGTGTGTCACTCAGAAATCGGACTGTATTTATTTTATTTATTTATTTTTTCAATAAAGAAATTATTGGAAAGTCTTAAGTCTTTTTCCAAATCGGAAGTTCGCGTATAGCAGGGGGCACCAGACAGATAGCGGAACGTTTTCGCTTGCAAAAACCTGATTGTAAGGCGGGATTTTTCAGCCAAATAAAGCGCGACCCCGCCCAGTTTGGGAGGCCTAAGTCGCGGAGGTCTATAGAATAGAATGCCATCAAAGTTTTCGAAAAGTCATTTTTCAAAAAAACGCAATGCTTTCTTTTACTTCTATGTCCACAACCACACGAACTTTTTTCAAAAACTTTAAATGGCTTTATCTCCGCGCGGAGATATGACGTTTGAAAACGACATAACTCCGCCGCTGATTATGGCGAGATTATGTCGTTTTCAAGCGACATAACTCCGCCGCTCTAAAAACGACATATCGCGGAGTTACGTCGTTACCTAGTTATTTTTATGGGCGGCCTAAAAGTATGCAGTAGAACTGCTACACGAATAGGCTCAACTGTTTTAAGTGGACAGCTCGAAAGTATCCAATGCTTTCTTTTACTTCGCTTCAAAACGACATAACTCCGCCGCTGACCATGGCGAGATTATGTCGTTTTCAAGCGACATAACTCCGCCGCTCTAAAAACGACATATCTCCGCGCGGAGTTACGTCGTTACCTAGTTATTTTTATGGGCGGCCCAAAGGTATGCAGTAGAACTGCTACACGAATAGGTTCAACCGTTTTAAGTGGACCGCTCGAAAGTATGCAATGCTTTCTTTTACTTCGCTTCAAAACGACATAACTCCGCCGTTGATCATGGCGAGATTATGTCGTTTTCAAGCAACATAACTCCGCCGCTCTAAAAACGACAAATCTCCGCGCGGAGCTATGTCGCTTCAAAACGACATAACAATGTCGTTGATCATGGCGAAATTATGTCGTTTTGAAACGTCATATCTCCAAGCGGACGTATAAAGTTTTTAGAGTGGCGGAAATTATGTCGTTTTGAAACGTCATATCTCCAAGCGGACGTATAAAGTTTTTAGAGTGGCGGAGCTTGTATGTCGCTTCAAAACGGCCTAACTTTCCTAAATCGGACCATTATTAGCCGAATTATCGCAAAAAAACGAAAAATCTTCAAAATTATAACGGCATATTTTCGCTTTTTTTAAATGGCCGTATCTTGGCTAAATAAAGTCCGATCTTGAAAAGATTGGTCACGTTCGACTCGTGATCAAGGCCAGTTTAAACTAGGAACTTCATATATGCAAAAAAACTGTATTTTGGTCATTTTGGGTCATCTCTTATGCGGATTTTTGGATGGCAATCGATAGTCGGCATCCATACGAGCAGAAAGAGGTATATCACTCCGAAATCGGACTGAATTTAGCCCAGATAGATATTTACATTTGAATATTGAATCAATGTTCCAGTGATGTGTTTATTGTGAATGGTTATTAGTATGGGCGGCCCAAAAGTATGCAGTAGAACTGCTACACGAATAGGCTCAACCGTTTTAAGTGGACAGCTCGAAAGTATGCAATGCTTTCTTTTACTTCGCTTCAAAACGACATAACTATGTCGTTGATCATGGCGAAATTATGTCGTTTTGAAACGTCATATCTCCAAGCGGACGTATAAAGTTTTTAGAGTGGCGGAAATTATGTCGTTTTGAAACGTCATATCTCCAAGCGGACGTATAAAGTTTTTAGAGTGGCGGAGCTATGTCGCTTCAAAACGACATAACTCCGCCGCTCTAAAAACGACGAATCTCCGCGCGGAGAAAGTATGCAATGCTTTCTTTTCTTCTATGTCCACAACCACACGAACTGTTTTTAAAAACTTTAAATGGCTATATCTCGGCCAAAAAAAGCCCGATTGCTGTCAAAAAGGGAGGGGCTACTCGCGTAGGTCCATAGAATCGAATGCCATCGCCATTTCTCGAAAAAACGTTGATCCGACCCCGACCCCGGGTATATTGGGATCAACTTTCGTTGATCTGCGTAGTTTAGCTGAAAATATTTAATTATTTTAATAAAAGTGCAACGTGTCATTTTTGTTTACTAATTTGTTTCAATATATTTTACATGTTAAAAAACTCTTTTAATTTATCTTCTTTTCCTTCTAAAATTAAAATACAATTTTTCGCTCCACATTCTAGTAATATAAATTATAGCATGTGTGATCCAGCTAATTAGCATTTAAGTTTTAAAATATGTACGCATATACACTTACCATAAATTTGAAATCAAGTGTTTGCTATTGCAGTCATTTAAATGCAGTCATTCAATAAGATTTCACATATAAAATAGTATAATGCTAGTATTAACATAAAAACTGAGTAAAAGGATAATAAGCCAGATAAAATACGAATTTAAAATGGTCAATAAGATGCTTAACAATTATATTTGGATTTTCCCAAATTCCCGTAGAATATTGGTTGAGCAAAAATAAAGAGCCCTACGATTAAGGTTAGACCTATGTCTCACAAAAAAATAACTTAAGTTCAGTTAAACGTATTTAAACTAACTTACACAATAAATTCTATTTTACAATATTAGCCTTGATGTCTAGTATAACCATAAATAATGATCATTAATAAACTTGCTGTACTTAAAATATACAATAAAAAAGAATTTGTGGAAAAATATTGTGTAAATGTCTCTCTCACGCGTAAATTCGCTTAAAAATGTTATTATATAAATATTATTTACGCGAAAAACAAATTTACATGACTGATTTAGATAAAATGATAAAAAGTTCTTGACAAATTCACTACCACTTAAAGATACTAATACTAATACGTAACAAATATCTTTATAAATGTTTACAATGTTTACTTATGCACAAACTTATCAATGTTTTAAGCCTCTTGATGTTTGGTGTTAAATAAAAAACAAAAACCAAAAAATTCTGAAGATTTTTAATAATTCTAGTGAAGCTAAAAATCATCCTTTATTGAAAGACGATCCATATTCCAACAGAGGCTCCAAATCGGTCATAGCTCCCACGAAGATTGTCCAAGTAGTCCTTGTCTTTGAAGGAAACCTGTTTCTGAGATTAGTAGGAGTAAGAGTTATCTGAAGCTTTTCACAGTTTCTTTCGAGCAGATTTTCATTAATATGTATATACAATTTTTTTTTATTTAATTATGCATATTTTATAATCGTACAATTTCAATAAGTTCTCTTTACAATTTAATATCAATTACTTATATTGACTATGCACTTTGTTAATAGGTTAGAAATTTTGATTATATATTTGGGTATATTTAAAATTAAATTGGATAAACGTGTTTATTATTTTATTTTTTTTTGGAGGTATTATGATAAAAATACAAAGTTTAGTTTTGATATGGCGACAAGGATATTGGAAACCTCTACAAACTGAATCTATTAATGTAAAGGCGTTCGATTTTACACAGATTGGTCCAACGTTTCTTATAATAAGATTTGCTTAATTTTTATGTTAAATAAAAAGCAAATCTTGTTTAAATGTCAAATTTAATACACGCATTTGATTGATTGGTTCGCTAGGTTTTCATTTAATATAATTGTAAGTGTATAAGTAAAGCTTTAACTCAAATTGCTAAAAAATCAGAATGCAACACAAATTCTAAACCATCTGTCGATGAGAAGTGCGATTCGGTGTAACAATTTTGGCTTAGTAAAATGGTTGATTTCATTAATGAGTGAGCAAAATCAATATATCAATATATGTTTATGTTAACACAGTTGAAATAGGAGTAAATAATATACTATATAGCAAGTATTGTTAATACAATGTTCAACATTTAGGCACAAATTATATTGCTTTTCAATAGATAGAAAAATTATTGCATATTTAATAGAGTTGGGCACTCCGTCTTTTACTTCCATTTCAAGTGAAGTCTCATCATGATAATAAAAAATAATACATATGTCTGTCTGCACATTTGTTTTCTAGTTAGGAATCGGTTTTCAAGAACTGTTTAAGTTGAAGCCACCCTTTTCGGTGAATTGGCATTGCTATTGGCCAACGCCGTCTCCTTGGCACGCTCGTGTTCTTCTTGAAAAAAGATTTTGGTGATAACTACGTCACCGGTGCTCAGAGTTTGCGACTCTGCATCCACCAGTTTGACTACTCGCTTGTCATTCCCTGATCTCAAAATGGGCGTTATGCTGCGCTCTCCATGGCAATTACAGTTCTTCATGCTTAAATTGCAATATCATATGATAGTTTTTATTTCGTTTGCAATACACGTTTTTGCACTTACTTTCTTGATTTCTCGCGAATGATTTGCAGATTCTCAGTGGTCGCAATGCTGGAGCCCAATTGTTCCTGCATTGCATTGGAAGTAATAATCTGCAAGAGTTATTTAGCATGGGAACTTATAATTCTAACTTAAGGCTACACTCACTTGATCGCATGGCAATGTAGTTGCAGTCGTCAATATGGCCTCGAGCTTATCAATGCGCGCTATTCGATCCATCGATTTATTTTGGAGTATTTCCTCTAGCATTTGCATTGATTCAGTCAAACTGGGCGGCTCAGAGCTGAAACGTGGCGAGAATGTACCCGACAGCGAATTATCCGAAGGCACCGAATCCAAGCTTGGGAAAAAGTCGTTTTCATTTGGTTCCGCCTCGTCCTCAGAGTCACTTTGATCTCTGCAAGAAAATGTGGTATTTTAAAATAGTTATCAACTATACACCGTAAGTGCTACGTACTTATTTGGATTGCCAGCAGATTCCATCTTCTCCAACTTCTTGGCCACTTTGTAATAGCCCTTGAGGCGCTCCTTCTCGTCCTCCGTCAAGTCCATATAGCTGTAAGTGAATGAAACTTCTTTTTAATTATATAGTAGCGGCATTAGGCTGCTTTCCCATGGTTAAGTTAACCTGAGCTAAATTCATTTAACGCCAGATCTTTTAATTAAAATATTTCGCGAAGATTTCGATTATCGAGCGACAAAGCTAGTTGGACGCATCGGAGAGCCGGCTGCCTTATAAAAAATTAAATTCTAAATTTTAAAATCTGGGACATGAGATCGAAATGTATACTTTTTACTTTTATCAAGATTTAAAGTATGAAAAATATAATTGAGAGTACATAGTATTCGAGATTTTAAAATTCATCCGTACTAATAGTTTTATAAAATCAAAAGATACATCTACATTATATAAACTCCAGTATTGGACTCACCGCAGCAGCCGTATTTCGCGATTGGAAAGCACAATACTTTTGCTGGTCTGCGCCAGTTTTTGCTTCAGATCCGACACCTCGGTGCTAACCTTGCGCTGCTTCTTTCGTATCTTGACTTCATTGGGCTTGATCTGCATGAGAATTTGCTCGGTGCACAGCTCGGAGAATAGCTGCCGGTTTTCGGGTTTAATCTGTTGCGCCAGATTGCCAAAGAGCTGATCGTGTATCAGTACAAGGACATCCCCCGCCGCATATAGCATCATTTCACGTGTCAGCGGTCTTTTGGCCCAGAACTTCTGATCCCGCCGATAGATTTGCTTCAGCTGATCCTTAATGGGATTACAGGGCGCATTGTATTGCTCGCACAGCGAGTTTAGCGATATGTATTTGGCCTTATACACCTGCTTGCCGTTCTCTTGATACTGTAATATGGCATGCGCCGCTTGCGTGTCAAATACATTGCGCAACAATATGCCAAATTGCAGATACAGATTAACTGCATCATTCCGGCAATCGTGAATGACTTTTATCACTTGATCGTGCTCTAGTAGCGTCTTTAAGCCACCGTCGCTCACCATGGCGGGGCAGGATTGCACGTCGAAAAGGAATGCCTCGCCACGAGCTGTACCGATCTCAATCAGAGTTATCTCACCCTTTATGCCAAGATTTATGCCCTCACAATCGAGCGATATGGCAATGTTGCTCTCATCTTTGGCTAGGTCTAGCAAAGCCTCGGTGACAAACGTTGAATGCTTCACATTGGCAATAACAGTGGTATTTTGCAGTACTTTTATCTTCCAGGTATCGCCAACGAAATAGCTTTGACTAGGCGAGGGATTGGCATTGTTTTGTGCCGATGTTGCCACAGCTGTGCCCGCAACCGTTGTTCCTGCGCTGCCTGCCGCTTTGGTGTTGCCGCCGTGTACCGGACTCGAGTGTGCGTTCTGATTAGCTAGTGTTTGCTTGTCCTTCTCCAGATTTTCCGCTAGGGTGCGGATGACCAGTGTATTTATGCGCTGCTTTAGTGTTTGATTAACGCTGTTCAAACGCTCCGTTGGCGCCGCCGGCTGTTGTTGCTGCTGCTGCTGTTGTGGTACTGCTCCTATGGGACCGTAGCACACATTTGAGCTGGGATAATTGTTCTCGCACAGATTCTCTAGTTTCAGCTCAGACATTGGCACATAGCTGTCAAAGCCTGAATTGGGCTCTGACTTATTTTGGCTTTGTCCGAAGCCATTGCCGCCTGTCATATTCGATACTGGCGCATTTAGCTTGAAATTAGGAGATACTATATTGTTGTTATTATTATTGTTGTTATTTAAATTGTTGTTACTGTAACCATTGCTGCGCATGGCTGGCGAATGTAAGCGCTGCTGCACGGGACTCATAGCTGCCTCTGGCTTTCGTGGATTCTGATTATTGTTAAGCGCATTAAACTGCTCGCGAGAACGCGCCTGTGCCTGCTGAATGTGCGAGTCATTTAGCTTTGGCTTCTGCAGCAGCGTGACTAGATTGGCCTGTATGTGAAAGCAGTCGCCGAATAGTTTCAGAAAGGAGCTCAAATCGCCGGGCGTCTTGAACATGCGCAGCCATTGATCCTGGGGAAAGTTAAGTGTCAACAGGTGGAATAGCTGATCCACCAGTAGCGGCCCTTTCATTTCGATGCACTGTGCAAAAAAGTCGAGCATTTGCTGTGTGCCGCGCGTATCAATGTTCGATTGGGGCAAATGCAAGCGGTCCCTGGCCGGCAGATCCGTCATATTCTCACTGCCCACCAGTACCACATAGTCGTCTGTCACCTTAAATGTGTCCGTGTGCTTCATCAGAAAGTCCGTAAACTCCTTGATATGCTGCCCTATAAAGTGAAAGCCAATATTAAAGATCAGATAGACCGAAAGATTAAGTTGGCCACTCACCCGATATGTGACGCACTTGTGGCGATGCCTGCGACCGATGGCCGAGCAAACTGCGAACTGGGACCTCGGCAGCGGCGCCATATTGGAGCATCTTGTTCTTGAAGTAGTCTTTAGCCTCTTGGATGTAGTCGCGCTTGCCGCCGCTGTTGCCATCGTCCGAACTGCTGTGCTGATAGGCATTCACCTGCACATAATCACCGTCCACAAGAAATATCGATGGGTATTGGGCGAGAAATTTCTTCAGACCTGTCAGCGAGAGGCCAAAAATGTCAATTATAATTAGTAAAAACCATTAGTGGGTTTCTCTCTCTTTCCCTCTCTATTAATATATCCGTCTATGCAGTAATGCAGTAAAAGTGTTAACTTAATTAATTCGACAGCACCCCTTTCAATGTGTACGCGTCGTAAGACAGTTTAGCGCTTTAATTGGCAAAGTACTTAATGTACATCGTATATATGTACATCCAAAACATATACATACATACATATATGTACTCTCCATAGCAGTTGATTAGTTTTTTGCCAGGAGTTAAGCTTTAAAGTGCGCATTGTATAACTTTGCTATCATGCTGCCACATATGCCCGGTTTCCCATAATTAACTTCATTATAATTACTAAATTACATATATATTAATGTATACTCATGTGTGTATGTGCATATCTTCTTCAGATGTATGTTGCCGCTTTGGTTGCAAACTTGGCCGAAGTTGGTTCGGGCCGGGGCTGGGCGAGGATGGGCTAACCCTTATATCAGTTACAATTGTGTGTATAAAAAGGCTAGGACTTGATCTGACATATAGTTTGTTGGTTTTCTGTGCACGGCACAAATAGAAGAGAAGTATAAATAGTTATGGTTAAATAGATGGAACTTAAAAGTTGATATCCTACACCCATTAACACATAAGTAAAATATTTCGATTTAAAAAGTGAGCTCGAGCTAAAAGAAGTTGTACATACTATTTGTAATATTGTGAAATTCCAAATTAGTTAATTGATCAAACTTATCTAAAAACGTCTTGAGTAATAATGTTTGAAATATTTCTAAAAATATTCAATTTAATTTGTAATATTCATTAAAAAAAGATTATTCAGCTCAAAAATCGTATAAATGAATTTAAAACAATCTGTTTTACAATGCAACCGCAATTTGTTTACAGTGCACATCTCCAGCCGAATGAAAAGTGAATGCACTCAAGCCAAACTGTGCGAGCTATTTATTTGATAAATCAGGTCATAGTTGCTGACAGACTGCCGTCAGCAGCCCAGGGAAGCGGCAGACACCCGCTCGTCACCATTGGTAACCCCTCTGGATGCCCCTCGCTCGTCTCGTGCCACAGCCTATTGTGTGTGTAATATGACGTGACATGACAAACGCGCAGCATTTGATAAAGCAAGGGGCGGGGACCAGGGAATTTGCTTGTTTTTATTGTTGCGTGTCGAGGAGGGAGCAACAACAGCCTCTGCTTCGGCTCCGAGTTGTCATTGTTACTTGTTGTCAAACTGAATTTGTAACAAGTTTTACTCAAAATCGCAGCATAAATTAATCTAATTGCATTTCTCACCGGGCTTTAAAATGTAAGTGAACTGGCGAATAATCAAACTTAGAAATTGCAAAGACATGTGCAGAGATTTTTGAGACCAGGAAGATTACCAATCTGGGTCTACGAATCCATCTAACATGTGCTCAATGAGCCACAAAGCAGAAAAATGATGAAAAAGTGAAATATCGTCGTACATTATGTGTCCACTAAATGGGCCAAGCAACTGGTGCATAATTCAATTTTTATGTGTCCTTGTGTATTAAACAAATTGAAATTGAAATTTACAGGTGAAGCAGAGTGAACTCTGTAAAAATTGTAAGCCACAAAAATGCGAGTCATAAATATTTATCTACCCCAATATATACTCAGCAATACGCGAGGGCACTTCCCGAGTTCACATACACGTCCATCCTATCATAAAAGCAGCTGCGAGGGCTACTCGTACTCTTAATGGAATGGAATCAATATTTTGAGTTGGCATTGCTGTGTTAAAATCTAAAATATATTCTGTATAGTTTACCGATCTGAGGACTGGACAGTACAAAATGTTATAATATATCTAGTAGCCCGAAACGTAATCGGCAATCGCCCAGTTTTCTTCAGCTTTGAAGGGACCCTTTATGCTACAATTGTCGGGCGTACAAATACCCACCGTATACTGAGCAATGCTGCGCGTATCGCGATAATAAAGGATTCTCATGCAATCGCGGATCAAAGTGGATGCCTCCTTTAAGCTGAAATCCCTGTCTATGGGCTTGCGTTCGCGCACAAGAGGCACGGCAATCAGGCGTGCGAAGCCGCTTGCCGCAACGTAGTTCTCGAAGGGGGATCCACGCGCATCCACAGCACTCAAATAAGGCCGGCATCCGTCTTCGATGCCGGCAACGATTATCTCGGCTTTGAGGGGTTGCTTAAGTGATCGGCGTCCATAGAGTAGCCGCGTCATCCAGTTTACCAAAGCAATCGGTTTTATGCTCGCCCCGTCGTCCCGGCAATGATCATTGATAATCTTCTGGTCTATGGTTCGAACAATTGACTGTATATCGGCGAAATCGCCGCCGCCTCCAAGCAAGACACTGTCGCTGATCTTGATCACTCGATCGACGTTCTGGTACCGAGCTAGGTTGCCATAGGTGACCAGCGTATCGGCGGACACCAAAATGCCGCCATCAAATCGAATGCCCAGCACCGAGGAGCCAGGCGTGATGCCAGCTGAGGGAAACCTGGTCCCAGGTGGATCTGCACTCATTAGATTGTGAAACCTTCTGGGTCGACCGAAGCTGGTTAACATATCGTTCGCCATTCGAATAAATTTAGAAAGGTGCAGGACAAATGGATAAAACAGCCATATCAGCTATCTATTTAACAGAATAAAAATAAGAAACAAATTCTTGAAATCGATATAAATGAAATAAAGACTTTTTCCACAGCATACTAAAACTATATTGTTAAAAATAAAATAAACTAGCTATGTTTCAAATCTCAAATACTTTACACTTAACCTCAAGTATTTTTTTAGATCCCACCAAAACACTGTGAGACAGAGACAATATTTGTCTGTTTGTTTAGCAACATTTCTTGGCTGGCGAGCAAGAATATTTCGCGGGCAGGTGGGTGAATCAGCCCGCCCCCTGAGGAGCAGGTGTCTGTGTTGTTGGCACATTTTACGGTCACTCGCCGCCTCACATATTGGACACAGTTTTGTGCAACGAGAACGTTTTCTATAAATATATATATATATTTATATAATATATTTGTAAATTTATGTTTGCTTATTGAAATGTAACCCCATACAGAACCCTGCCACCCAGCCAGCCACTCCACAGGGCCGTAGGGCAGAAATATTATACATTCTGTAAGTGGCTTGGCCAACCAGGTAAAAGGGTTATGTGGCAATAAATTCAAGATTTTATGTGTGCAGTCGGAAAGTGAAATTTGCTTAAAGTGTGGATATATTTGACTTGGAGGTTGGCCTGGCATATTATATGGAATAAACATGACTTCATAATGGGCTTATTAACTGACGGTTTTGCTCATTAGGCGCAAAAGGCGACATTAATAAATAGCAAATTGGTTTACTGTTAAAACGTTGTTGCTATTAATGCGACGACTTCCACACAACAAAAATCAATGTCGAGCTTTAGCGAGTGCCATTTCCAACTCCATTTTGATTACCATTTCCCTTGGCACAAGTCAACAATAACAAAAACCTTGCCATCTGCCAGGCAAGCTTCACACAAATACAAAACAACTCAACTTGAACGCACAATGCCGACACGCAACGGGGATGGAGATGGAGCATGAGCCCAGGGTGCCAAAGGATTTCAAATGGGCCAACCGACTGCTGTCGGCATAAAATCGTTAAATTTATGCCCTGAGTCTGACACAGCGCCAAAGGAGCGCAAGTCAAACTGAAATGTGTCTGAGAGGTAAATCGAACACGGACGCGTTAAGCATGCTGCGATACGGCACATCGATCACTGAATGAGCTTAAAAATCAACAGAACTTGGCTGTTGTCCGTTAGAGGAGACTTCACTGTACTAGCTGTATATATTGCAAGCCACCCGCTAGTTCAAAATTTGAGTTCCCATTGACAAATGCGTTCCACCTTCGCTTTGGCAATCGATTACGCAAAAACAAAAACATTGCGTGCTTCACGTGGAGGCCAACCTGAGCCCCGCCAATATGGCAACTATTCAACATCAACATCCATATCCACATCGACATCCACATCGATGTTGTCAGCTGGCCATTAACTGGCATGGTTGAGTTTGGTCAAATGATTCGCACAAAATGCATGCAAAACTTGTTTTTAGTTTTAAGTTTTTAAGCGATCGGTTGTCAAATTAGCAGTGAAATGGGAACGCAGCCATTTGGAAACTGTTTGTCCAAGCCATTATCACATTTTAGTTAATAGCCTTTAAGCTGAGAACTTATGACAGAAGTGAGTGTTGGTTCTACAAGCTCTCTAAAAGCTGTTGAGTTAGAACAAAATTGCTTGTGACATTAATTTCGTAAATGTTTTCTTCTTTGCCTGGAAACCCTCGTCAGCCGCTGGGGAATAGCGAGAGAGCTTCCCAAACCCAAGCCCATGCATTATTGAAGCAACAAATGGGCGGCTCTCACCCTCTCCCTCTCTCGATATCTCTCTCAGCATAGTTTGCTATAATATTTGAAATTCAATTGAACATTTCTGTCACGTAATCGACACTTTTCTATTGCAAACCAAACAAGAAAAGCAAATTTACCCACATCATCATCATTTGGATTCCGGCTCGGTTTTGGTATCAGCTTTTAGGTGGGTCATATGAAAATATTAAAGGTATAGAAAACGGGCTACAGTACGCCCTTAAAGGCTTATAAGAGGCTTCGCTATTGCTTTTGGCCAAAAGTTGGCTAAGCGCCCATTAAAGACCTGAGGTGCCCGCCTATTCGCCTAGGACTTAGGCTTCGACTCTTACTTTAAAGTTGACACGAATCAAGCCCACTCTCCTTACAGCCAACTAACTTGGCCTAGAGCGCTGTGTTCTTCGCATCTGCAAACGCTTTAAAGCTGTATTTAAAAACGCACGTCACGAACTGTAGTTTAAAAGACATATGTATTTTAAATGCGATAAGTATTTGTTGAATGCATTTGTTGCACTTATTTTACGAGTGCAATTAACGCAACCACAAGCTGTGAACAATGTCTGTAATAAAAATGTGCCGTAAATGATAACAATTAGCAAGGCATGCTAAAGTAAACAGCAACTCAACTATGAAAACACGATAAAAAAAAAGATTGTCGTCAAAGAGCCCGATATGGTGGGCTTTAACATGTAAAGTTGGCAAATAATTCTCTCCATTTCATACCAATTGAATTTCTGCTACTTATTAATCACAACTGTCGCAACTTTCTGTAAAAATCACTTGATTTCTATTCTTATTACACGCTAATGAATTTTGGGGCCAATCCATCGCCTTTTTTTTTTGGTTAGAAAGTGCATTGCACCGACCTCCAGAAGGTGTTTATTTTTAAAGTTTTTGAAGAGTTGTGTATTTCTATTTTTAAAACGCACGCAACTTGTGTTTATGTGTGTTAATTTGTTGTTGTTGTAAGTCAAAGAGCGGACGTCCAAGTTGAGTGTTTTTTATTTTATTTGGATGAATCCAGTTTTTCCACAGACAGTCGCCACAGACAAAACACAACAAAACTACGTTTATTATCGATCGAGGTAAAAAACAATAACCCTGAAAACATAGTTGTCTAACTAATAAAGTGGTTGAAACAGTAAAGCACCCCTCGACCTTATTGGTTGCTGTTTACAGCCAATGCAGGATATCTTTTAGTCATGCCAGCTCGACGCTTTCAATTTTCTTTTGCGGTTTAAACCGCAGCCTCAGTTGCTGGGCCACAATGGCGACTGGCAATGACATGTGCACTTGGACAAGTCAAGCACTTAAACGACAAGAAAAACGACAACAGGCAGCGGAAAACATTGAACCCGCACAGGTGTACAAATATGTTTAGTATTGGTTTTCACTGTACCTGGTTTCAGGTTGCCCACAGCGATATTAAAACGTAAAGTAAAATAGTTTTCACTTTTGATTTAATGCGATTTGAGCACTCACCAGACTGACTACCGCCGGCGATTTGTCGCATCTCCTTGGTGAACTCCTTATTGCCAAACTGGCAGGAGAGATCGTGCACGGTGCGTGGCTCGCCCTTGTCCAGCAGTCGCTCGAGGAAGAAGAGCAATGTCATGTTGCGTGCCATTTCATATTCCATGGACTCCATATCGTATGCACTTGTTTAATCTTTTTAATTATTGATGCGAGAATACGTCACGTTGCGGCTATTTTTGTTGCCGTTATCTGGAATAAGCGAGAGAGTTGAAAAGTTTTAGTTAGTTTTAGAAGAGAGCTTTTTCATTCATTTAAATCCACCGTCAACAAATAACCTTATGCAATGAGCGAAAAGAAAAGCAGGGACAAATCAACGGTTTGTCTGTCCTTCTGTGTTTTTAATGCACAGCCACTTTTCCACTTAGGCCGCAGCCGCTTTATGTTATTGCATTCTCGTTTTTTGTCTTTATCTTCCCCCTTCTTTTCTATGGGTTTTTCTTACATTTCTATCTCTATCACATTTGCTGGCTTGACTCGCACTGAGCGCGCAAAGTCATAAACTCAACTTGCACGTCGGCTTTCCGGCTTAAATAATTGAAAAGCCGCCACGTAAATTTTGGTTGCTTGTGTTCGTGGCTTTGCGGAATTATCCCTGCGTATCCTTGCGTCGCGCTCGAATGCCGAAAAACAACTGATGCTAGCAGCGCTGTTGCTGCCAGCTTTAATGTTAACTAACAGTAATTCCTGACTGCTATTCTACATTCATTTAAGATACATTATAGCTAACATTATGTTTGCTTTAAACAATATATTTTTTTATAATGATATATATTACAAATTTAAAATTATTAAATTGATTTGTCTGTGTTACAAATATAAACATCTGTGTCAACATTAAGCAGTTTTATCTGTGTTACAAATATAAACATCTGTGTCAACATTAAGCAGTTTTATCTGTTACAATTTTGCCCTTTCAACTTAACATTATGCGCCGCAAAAGTATAAACAAAGCAAAGAGTTTCAGCTGTTATTTTAGCAGGACACGGATAAAGAAAAGACGGCGAATTGTTGCCCTTTATTTTGAGTTGTTATTGGTTGGCGGGTTGGCGTGTGAAAAACAGGTGATTGACACAAAAAAGGTGGACAAGCAACGGAAAAATATAACAAAGATACACAGTCTGCAGTTTGTTTATTGAAATTAGCTTGATGACTGTGTATGTGTGTGTGTGTGTATGATGATAGCCCAAACCCGTTGACAACGTCCACACACATACAGCTAATACAAAATGTATTGAGAACAGGAACGACAACACAAAAACCATCGAAGCGAACATTCCAAAGCAGCGGCATGTGTGTGTGTGTGTCTGTGAGTGCTAAGCAGCGGCATTAAGCATGTATTGGTAGCCAAACAAGAAACACACCAATATAATTCTTATAAGACCCGCTGTTAGTATTGTTGCTATTTCTTTGAGTGTAAAAAGAGATAGCAACATTTAGAAGCAAGTGCAAATTGATGATGACTGTTAAATGTGTAGAAAGGTAAAACAATAAAAAAAAGAGCACAGGGCAGTGAGAAACGATAAAAAGAAAATAGCATACAAAATATTTCAGTACGCTGCAGACAAAACGCGCAAAAACTCTTACATAGCATGCAAAGAAAATAGCAAAAACAATGTCAATGAAAGAAATGAGCGTACAATATGTATGTTTGTTTGTACACATAGGTATTTTTGCTTATTTATGTATGTACGTATGCGTACGTATGTAAAAGCAAAAGTGAAAAATGTCAGTTATGTGTAATTACCTGCGTTATTTTTATTTGCTCAAATGGACTTTGTAATCTATATTTAAAATACACTTGTTTCAATTTGTGGATGGCTGCTTTTGTTGTAAAGGAGCTTTGTTCACACACACACGCACACACACACACACACTGAATGATAATTAGCCTTCTTTCTTTCCCTTTTTTTATCACATTTAGAGACGCGATACTGATCCTCGCGTTAGGGATTTTGGTAGTTTTTTGTTGATCAGCACTCCTAATTTGTTTTATTTTTATTCACTGAGGCTGAGCGCTTTAATTAAATTATGTGTATGAGCTTAGCATTTTTCGGCGTAGTTATCTTATTGGATTCCAAGCATAAAGTTCACAACTTGTTGTTGCTTACGTATGCGCTTGTATGCGTGCAAGCTGACAGGTAAAAACAATATCCGTGTGCGCGCGTCGGTATGTGTAAGGCACTTTGGTTGAGAAGTAAAAAACAAGTTGAAAACCACTTGTTGCACAAAATGTTGTCACCCACAACAGCTGCGCTCTGCTGGCAGAAGAACTTTTGCAATATTAATGCGTATTTAAAGCAAAGAAAAACACACGTTTTCGTGTGTTAAAACGGCAAAATTTGGTGTGCAGAGGTTTTGGAGCGATGATGACAACGCGAACGCGACTTCAGGTGTGCCTTCGATTACGATATCGATTATGAATAGTTTCTATGTGAATGGCAAAACAGCTGTGCGAACTATGTTAAGAAAGTGTGACCAGGGCCGTGGGGCTGTAAATTAACAGTGCCCATTTGAGTTAGCATGCTGGTTTTTATATTTATTACCAGAGTGAATTAAAATGGCGCAAAATTCAAATGTTGTAATTTATTCAAAACGATCTGAAACTTATAAGCTAATCAACAAATGCAACAATGTCAAACATTGATAGCACACCTTCATTATCTGTAAGAACTAAATATTTGTGTACATATCAATATGTATATAACTGATATAAATCACGCGCTAGGACAGCGAGGAAAAGCGAAGCACGCACCAGAGCTATAAAATGTATGCAAACGCGACACGCGTTGCTTTGTTGATGATTTACAAGCTTCTCAATACTGGTCGTTAGCTTGGCCAACGTCGGCCTGGCTAATTGACCATATGCAAATTAATGGAATTGCCCGATATCGGCGGAAAGGTGTTGCCCGCGGGCCAGTGACAATTTTTCTGACACCAACATATGCTCCAGGTTATGGGAACGGGTGTTGCATGGACATGGCGCCGCAACTGCTCCTCCGGCTCATGTCAGACATAATTGAACGCATCCGTTGCTCGTTTCGCTGCCTTGTCTCGACTTGTTGCCGCTAATTAAAGTTGATCGGATGGTTGGGGGGAGGGGGGGGAGTGGGATCGGGGTGCACTCACTTAATGTAAACATTTATAACTGCTGCGTTTATTCAATTAAAACGCACTGATTTGGTTCGTCTGCTCTCCTACAAATTGCTGCCTTGTTGTAATTGCGTGAAGGAATTTTCATGTGCTTAACCAAATGTGCAATTATTTATAGTACATGTACAACAACTGGCTATTGGCTGATGGAATCGTTGTTCCATTTGATGCGAAATTTCAGCAATCTTCAGCTAGGATTAGCGACTGCGGCTAAGAAGCCTTGCCTGGCAGGCAAGTAAATCTGCCGCACCTTTCACCAGGCCATTACAACAAGACGTTGCCCACTTGGCACGTTTCCAACTTACCAAATCTGTAAACACAACCAGGGTTACTGTCCGCAAAAAGTTTGTTTAAATGTTTGTTGTCCCCCATCTCCAGCGGGAAATTCGCAACAACCATGATCTTCACAACGAATCCATTGACCGAGCTCGTATTTGAATTTCAGCTTAAGTCCCATACGCTAACGAGGCTGAATGCAAATGAGGGGCATCACCAGACTCCAAGAATGCCTAAAGATCAGCCAGATATTTATCCAAGCCTCACTAAAATAGTAGAATTGTTTACCTTGCTAAGTTATGAACCAGGTAAGCATCTTTATTTGCGGCAAACTGTTACTAAAAATACTCTGGTCGCGCTTCGAAATGAAACTAAGCGTGCATGGATTATTCCCTCAGCTCTGGGACAGCTCAGCTTGTGAGTTAAGGCCTTGGAGGGGCGTTGTGTCAAAAGAGGCGCTGTCATCCTGCTGTGCGTCATTATGTGCTATGTGTCATGGGGTGCAAAGGAAGGCGAAGGGGTGCCAAAAGGCTTGTTTGTTATTTATGTGACACATACAGTCTTGACAACAATTGTTGGCCAAACGTGACGACTGCGAAGTCGCATTTAGAATGCATTCAAATGGAAAGTAGCGCGAACTTGTAAAATGGCCTGGTTTTAAATTGTTGAAGGTAACACAAGGCGTTGCTTGAAATTGTTCTAATGGGCACATAAATTCGTTAACTATCTGGAGTCTGGAGTTGTTAAATCTAAAGCCAATGCCGCCTGGGCACGCCCAAAAGTGTTGAGATTTATGTACTCCTAGCACCGATCTCTCCCATTGGAGGAAGCTGCTCGGACAGCTTATCTTTAAAGCGCTGCCAAGATTTATAGATTTCACTTAGCCACTGGGCGCCATAAATAATGCGCCTATCTAAAAATTGACTAAAGCTCATTATTAAGAGTTTAGTGCCAACCTTAACTGCCATGCTCACTAATTGCTAGCCCTGTCTGCAGGCTAACCAGGCCCATATAAATAACAGCACACGTAGCTGCATGTCTGCCACAGGACAAAAATGTACCATGTGCCCACCTATTGTGTGGTTGTACAAGCACATCGTGTCCGTGCCACAAGGTGCAAGACAAAAGGCTGCCCACAGCTGCCCAGAGACTCTGATTAAAAAAGTAACCCACGCAAGCTGGGCCCACGTTTCGCAGCCTATGACTCGAAATGGTCGTTTCCCTTGGCCTTTGGGCTGTACGTGGAAAATTTAACGCTTTTCGCGCTGGACATGGCTCTATGAAATGTGGCCCAGAAATGCAGCAGAACTAAGCCAGAATAGGTAGGCATGGCCTTTAACAGAGTCTGCTCGAATTGGGAAATACCCGTGCCAAGTTGTTGAGGCAATGAGCAGATTCTCCTGCTTTTAAATTAAATTTATAATTAATCATGTAATTAAAATGTTACATACAAAATCGAATAAAAAGCAGCGGGGCATATTTTTGAGAATAAAGTTTACCCCTGCTGATCGTACAAGGGGAATATACCCGCTGCATTATTCGGGTGCGGACATTATGAATCTCTGTCTACCCTAAATGCAATTTTACACACTTTATGCCATAAACAAGAGCGATGGAAATGGGCTGTGTTAATTCTGTTACCTTTGCAATCTGTAATTTTCATGGTAAAATTAATGTTGCGCCTGAATTGGCAGCCAATTTTACGGGTAGCCCTCACCGAGTACAGAGCAACGAGTACTGCAAATGAAGGCAACCTTTACGCCCTCCAGCATTTGTCATACTCGTAAAATACAAGTTCCCCCCCAGATCCAGCTACAGATCTTCCCCAACTGCAACTGCAATGGGATTGGGAATAGCAGCATGATTTAGCTTTCTAGCGGATAGCAATAGTTTTCGAAATCAACTTGAAGCTGTAGACAGACACGAATCCCGTCAATTGACGGCAGCAGATGCTGGCCGGGCAATTGAAAGTCGTCTCAATGAAGTGGGGGAACATTTTTGGGGAAAAGGCAATGTAATTGTTCAGATAAAAGCGATATAAAAAATTGTGTTAATTGCCAAAAGACTTGCGATGAAAATTTGGAACAAGCCCGGAGTAAACGTACATGTTGAGTGTATCGTATGTCGGAGGGGATCCATATAGAACTCGTTGCCTTTTCTAAGCTCTTAAAGAATAAACGATGACAACATTTCCCTGACAGTTTATAGCCGCATCAATCTCACGGCTTTTGGCTAAGTGCTGATAAGACGTTGTCCACCATCCCAATCTTCTCCAGCTTCAGCAAACTGAGTGGTTGATTGTTGATTGAGTGATCGTCTCCTTCTCAGCTCAACTCATCTGATCTCATCTGCAAGTTGACCGCGTGTCGATGGCAAACGGCCGTAAATTCGATTAATATGCAAATCGCATGCAACCAGCCAACCAATTGGCCAACTTATCTTCAGCCATTGCTAATTGTAAACTGGCCATAATTCGGAGCTAACTGAAACTGGCTAATTGCAAGTCAAATGCTTATCTGTCGCTGAGATTATTATAACAATATTTAATAGTACATATAAACTTAAATTTGATAATAATATTCAACTATTATTAAAAAACACAGAGCACCTTTTGGACACACATACACTAGCAAATTTTTATTAAGTTAAACTAAAGTCAAACACACACAAGACACAAGACAGTGTACATTGTACATAAGTAGCATATGTACATTAGTTGATATAGCTGATCAAATAGTTGTTCAAATAGAGACGATGGCTAAAAACTTCCGAAATCTGTGCACGAAGAATTTGAAAGCAAAGACCGAAGGCGGTGGGTTTCGATGAGAGATGTTCCAGTCTACCAAATGATCGACGTCTCGAGTAAAAAACAAATCAATTCAATATATTGATATATTCAGTATGGAGAGACAAGGATTGACTTACCACCACCAGGGCATAGGTGAGGCCAATGGCGCCACCGGCCAGCACATCCGACCAGTGGTGCTTGTAGTCGGAGACGCGCGTCAGCGCCGTGTACCAGGCGAACATGAGCAGCAGGAACTGCAGCAGGTGGCGCAACATTTTGAGGCGCGACCAGTGCATGCGACGCTGCAAATAGATCTGAATAGGAAAACGAGCTGCGTTGAACACCCAAATGACTTCAGTCCAGTTATAATTACGCACCACCAGGTAGACCATGGAGTAACATGCAAAGCTGGCATGGCCACTGGGGAAGGAGAGATGCATGTCCTTCAATCTCTTGGCGCTCATGCTGGAGGCCGTGCACTGAAAGTCCTCGATAAAGCGACCTGCATTGATGGCATCATTACAGCTGGTGCCGTCACGGAGCACTGGCTGGCAGAGCTGAATTCAAAATATACAGTGGTTAATCCATTCAAGATTAGGCGAAATGCTTAATGCGCTTACGGCAAAGAAGTGCGGCCGCAGTCGACCAATGGCATACTTGGCTATGTCCGTGGTAAGCTGCTCCACTCCCAGGCCGAACACAAAGGCGCCAATCTTGCGATAGCATTGCAGCACCCACTGCGGTAGCTCCATGTGGCACAGATAGTAGCCGCTGCCAATCTGGCCGTGGGCATACTTGGGCTTGTCCTGTGCCCTGTAGAATTCAACCAGTAAAATCTGTGTGCGGGGCATGGATTAAGCAGAAGATTTGCAGATCAATAATGTCCATTGATTTACCACAGAAACGGGCAGCGCTGCACACATCAGATACAGCATCCAGCTGCGTATAGTCGATTCCTTGTAGGGATGCATCAATGAGAGATCACCGCAGAAGAATCCGCGCCTGATCGGTTCACACCACAACGAGAAGGCCAACATAGTCAAGCCAACTGTAACAGGTAAAAATGAATCTATATAATACTCTCCTCCACATTGCATTGCAGAAGACTTCATTATTGTTATAGCTGAACTGGGAAGAATGAAGAAATGTAAGCCGAGTGTGTTGGCTGCACTTGTCAAGGGTGGGCCACAGCTTAATGATGATCATCAGCATTGCCATGTGGTGTCAGATTCTAGCTGACGCACTGGCTCATCGAAACAAGGTCTGCTGATCATGCCCAAATTAGACCTGGGTAAACAAACAGTGCCAGCTCCAATTCAAAATCAAGCTGATGAATGATGATGATGATATTGTTGTTGCTGCTGCCGTTGAGCGGGCAACTTTTCACAATACAATAAATTCACCCCACAAACATTTGCGTAAATTAAGTCATATATAAATCAGACAACACTCGATGCGCAAATACTTATGTATTTGGGTGCTGATTGAGGCCGCAAATGGCCAGTGGGCCATCATTTCGGTTGGTCTCACATTGGGCATCCTCTACAGCCCCAACAGCAAAAATGCTTATTCATTTGAAAAACATGCCAACGCTGTTGGAAAACATTTACTCTACGAATCCGAATGTTATTATTAATTAAATGAACGGCACACGGTTTCGATAAAAACGATGGACAAGAGGCGCCCCCCAGGGGCCAGATAATACATAGTTGCGACTACTAAAATTCTGATACGGCACACACTCGATGAGCTTTATTCACTTTATAAGCACAAAAACAGACAAGTTGGACCATTTAAATAGATTCATAAAGAGCAAGAGTTCAATTGGTACAAAACATGATAACAGATCGTATAACAAATGGAAAACAAGTGTTCAAGCTCATTCCTGTCAGTTACATATGTACGTACATATATTAAGGGATCTAAGCTCAAGTTGAGTTTCTCTTTTGTGTTGCTTTCGTCGAGGCTGAAACTCACCGCAGCTAAGCAGGCTCAGGTCCATGACGATGCGTCCAAAGATGTGAGCTGTGCCGCGAGCGCGCGGCATTGTGACAATCGTTCCAGTGCCGCCTCCGCCCACTCCACCCACTGCCCCCGCGGCAGCCCCAACAAACGGTGGCAGCTGTAAATCAACTTTTACATTGTTGTTGATATTGTTGTTGTTGTTGTGGGGGGAGTGTTGGTGTTGGTGTCGATGTGGGGAGTTGGAGGTGGACGCTGCTGCTGCTGCTGCGGCGGCTGCTATAATACTCGCCGCGGTTGGCGAAGATGGCTCCTCGCCGCTGCTGCTTTGGCTCTCAAAGCGCTGCAGCGGCGTCGTGTCGCAGACATTTGCGGTCCGCAGGCTACTCATGGTGGGCGGAAGCGTGGGTGTGGCTCTACTGCACCTTGCTGTCGATGCGTGTGGGCATATTTTTATCAGTTCGGCAGTCCAAATATTTAAAATGCAATAAATAACGAAGAAATGTGCCTTTTTTGGGCATACGCTAATGGACTCGGGTCTCGGAATTCTATTTACCCTGGCTTAGTGGCTATCGAACGCTGCCTTTGCCTGGCTGATAAGCGTCGGCGTTGGTAGCCAAGTTGCGTAAATGAGAACCCGGCAATCAATAATGTAAAATAAACAAAAATCTGATTTTTCGTCAGAGGCGGGTAAAATGGAAATTGCGCAAGTGACAAGTTAAAATATCGGCTAAATATTGCTGTCAGCGCACAAAAACCAAACAGAAGCTTTTCGAATTTTTTTTTAAATATTTGCACTACTTGAACTGCCTGCAATCGCGTTACTACTTTTATGCAGCACTTTGATGGGCTTGCTTAAATGCTATTGTTGATTGTTGTGTTTTATAATTCCGTTATTCTCTAAACTACGCCTTGTGATTGCACTTGCACTTTCTTTACGCGCCCTTCTTTCGCATGCGCAGCGCCGCCCGCAAAGAACGACGAGAATGCAGAAGCTGACAAAATAGTAGCGAGCGACCAAGATCAATGCGACCGCAGCGTTCAACAGAACCCGAAGAACTGAGCGCAGCAACCACCGCGGCAACTGTCCAAGCACCTCTGAAGCACCATCAACTGCAGCGAGAGTGCAAGAGAGCTGAAAGCGGCAGCGCTCTTAGCAGCTGGCAGCGTGCTATCTTTTTCGATCGACAGGGGAAACGTATTAGCAATTGTTTTATATCGATCAAGCCAAAGAGTCTACAAAGTTATCAGAAATTATTTAGTGCTGATCAGAGGAATAGGGCTTTAAATTTAAGGGGTTTAATTCTAGCTAAAAATTATGGCTCTTTCGCCTTAAAGATTAAGAAATTTATTGCGGATCAAACGAATTGAGCTTTTTAAATAAATAAATATATATATATATATATATATGGATAGATTATCTATATTTATATATTTAAGACAAAAAGTCTTGTTTCGGCATTCAGGTCTATCGAGTATTAATTATTTTACGGGACCAGTGACCTCATTATTATCTAAAATCCCCTTTGATTCTAATTCACATGCATATCTTATCTAAGCTTAGAACATACCGTACCTGAGCAACGCGTGTGCGCACATTCCGTGTTATTCTCATCAAGTTCGAAAAGAGCACAGAATTCATTCTCTCTTTCTCTTTCTGCCTGGCTCTCTGTGTGCGACAAACACAAGGCCTGTCTGTCTTTGCCTCCATATTTAGTACAATTTACTCAGCGGACGAGTTCGGTCGCCCACTTTGATGAGAATTCGGCGCGGAAAATGTTTTGTGATTTCGTATTTGTTTATGCGCAAGGAAAATGAATAAATAAGTGACGTTAGAAGCAAAGCTGCAAAGTGGTCGAGGAAAACTCGCATCTGGTTTCACCAACGTGAAAAACATTAAAAAGCGCTATATAAATACGTAATCATTCAATTCATTTTGGGCAAAAGGTAAAATATTCTATCAAAAATATATATGTACATATGTATATTTACATTTATACAATCGTGTTTGGTTCTGTGCATGTGTGTGTGCGTAGATTCGGCGGTTAATAAAGATAATACCTTCCATTCAATTTTTCTATCTATGTTCAAATTCGCTCGACGCAATGAAAACAGGAAAGTGAGATTGCAAAATATCTGCGAGAACTCAAAGCTAATGCCAAAGTAAACAAACATTAAAACAATTAGTAAACATAGGTGTCCGTATTGTGTAATTGCGCGGATCTTGAAGAGCGGCACGCAAATGCCTTCTGTGGGTGCGTAAATACTTGAAACATTTCCAATATCGTGAAATCGATTTTTGCAACCAAGGATAGCCCAGGGTCAAGGACAAATTGCTATTATTGTCCGGAGAAGTTCTTTTCGTTTGTAACATGTCTTAACTATTTGCAGCTTTGTTAACTGTTTGGCTCTGCTTATCAGTGGGCTGGGAATGGGGTCTCATAATCAGCTACAATGGGCACTAATACGTTCACTTTCCAGTTAACGCTGACAGTTAAATAATTGCGTTTCATGGTGATATTACTTTGATTAATTTAATGAAGCATCAAATGCGTCACGTTCCCTGTTGTTAATAACATGCACAGACTGGCAGCTGCAGCTGACCAAAATCAAGTCCATAAAAGATTATTGTAAAATATAATTGCATTGCATTCCATTGCATTGTTTGTGTATTAATGAATGGAAACTTGAGTTTAGATTTGAACTTTTTATAATCCATTCTTCCTGCCAACTCAACCTGGTCGGAGCGTCTTAGATTTCAATGTTGGGCGCGTGTGAACGTCATCAAATTGCTGATTTCGGCCCCATTTACATGGCAAATAAACAAGCACTTTACATAAGTACAATGACCACGACGAGGTGTCGTTTTGTCTTCCGCTGACAGCGTCGTCGTCGTCGTCGTCGACGTCGTCGTCAATAAGTCTGCGAATAGCTCTTGCCACCTGCCTTTTGCCAGCCGCACTGCACGTTGCCAATCAGCCTGCCGTGGCCGTGAAATTGAATGCCCCAATCGTCATGGCAATTCTGGCAGATGGGCAGGTACGGGTACATTGCTGACGGGATTGGGAATCGGATATAATTTTAAATTTTCGATGCTTTCGCTTGGCGTGGCTAACGCCGCACAGTCGTAAATTCCAGCTTATGCGCATATGAAATTATTTACATTTCATTTACTTTTATTTATGCACAATTATATTTTTGTTAATTTCAACAACGCGCAGCAGATGCAGCTTGTTGACCTTATTTCGCAGCATGCGCAACTGCAGCGTGACACTTGCCTGTGATGGCGGGATGGGGGCGGGGTAAGGAGTGGCTGGCAAGGTTAACTCAGCTTGTGGTCATTGCCCGCCCATACTCAATATGGCTCAAGAAGTTTATAATAAGCTGCATTTCGTGTGTGAGTAGCTAGAAATCCGAAGCGACAAAGGTTTATAAGATTTATCAATCATGATCTTTTCATAAGTTGATCAGCAGCAGTTGATCATAAGTTTGGCCATCTGTGCTTACCCTTTTCAAGAAGCCGCAGTCGTTTAATTGAAAACAATCCGGCAATATACCGAGTACTCTTGTACTTTCCAACCATTCAGCCAGTCGACTCAGAGATACAATCTTTAAAGTTTCTGTGTTTAATTAAGACGCAGTTTTGTCAGGAAAACATGTTCTTTACTCCCCTTTTGGAAAGGAAATTAATCATTGGCATTTGAGCAGGGAAATCAACTGGTTGGCTTACTAAGACGTAAGACGTAGAGACAACCGTCTTTCGAGCCATAGTAATTGTTCTTAAGAGGAGGCTGGAGCTGGTTTTGCTATCTATAAATAGGTCTTGTCTGCCTAGATGCACAGCGATTCGCTGGACGGTTGAATCCCTGTTGGTCATATTTGAAGCTGATAACTGCAGATCTACTGTCGATTGATCCCAGCCCAGTGCAGCTTGCTTTTCTGCTGCTTTTTGATTGACGGTTGGCACTTCGTCGGATGGTATATCAAATTAGGAACTCGGCTGTTGCTCCACAGGTTCTGGTTTCAATTGCAGCCAATGCAGCTGCTTATTACAATGCCCCATTTGCGGGCAACAAGTTAAGAAAACCGCATTAAATTATAGAGGTTCTGATCAAGAAACTATTTGTGCAGCAAATTGGCATAATTCTGTCCAAGAACCTAACCATTGGCTACGAATGCTGTGCTGCGATTGAACCACGACTCATTGGGCTCTGAGGTGATTACGTCCCATTACAATCAAACAATCCCTGGACTTACAACTATTTTTGGGTAGATAAATAGGTAGTGTGCAAGAGAGAAATTCCTGGACAGGTTAACGGGTCGACGAGGTTTAGTTTAAGTTTAGCGTTCAGTTTGAATTTTTACGATTCGTTTTTATTGACATTTTTTTTTTATTGGTTACTCGGTTAAACTTTTAAAGTTAATTGTCTCTGAGCGATATAACGAATCACAATAATGAATCACAGTATGCATACTTCCGAGTAAAGTCGTCATAGCTGTCTTTTATTCTAAAGGGAATCCGCGGCATTACTCATACAAAGAAACCTCAAATGCCGTTGTATAAACCAAGACTTATTTTTTAAATTATAATTTTTTAACCCTCTTTTCAGAAATGGCGTTTTTATAACATCAACATTTTACCTGAGCATCAAAGGTGAGCAGAACAATCTTAGCTGCTTGCGACGCTAACAAAGCCCAAGTTCATTGTCAAGTGGGCAAGAGAGAAGAGCGAGCGAGAGAGAGAGAGAGTGAGCTTTGGTAAGCTTTTTCCAACATTTTAAATCACCCAGAAGCATTTAAGCGAATTGGAAATGAGTAACGAATCGTCAGCGAGCGAGACAACACCGCTGCGTCGGCCGGAAAGTCAGTTGAGTGCAGAATCAAGCGCTAACGTGGCTATTAACAACAACAACAAACACGTCACCATTGTTGGAGTTCCACCTGCGCAGACAGCGTTGACTATTCCCAGCAACATCGAAAATAACTTCAGTATTGAGGAGCGCCTGCACAGCAACAACAACAATCGCGACCAACAACAACACAACAAAACTATGGACACAAACAAGCGCATTTTGTGCCGAGTGGGGCTTGATGTTTTGATTTTACTCTGCGGTGAGTGTTGCCAATTGGCATTTGTCACATTCGTTTGTCCAATTATACATATTTTTATATGAATCTAAATATGTATGTCGCCCGTATGTGTGTGTGCGTATGTGTGAATTTGCCGCCTGGCTGTTGTCGCAATGTTTGTTTTGTATATTTCTTTTTATGTAATTTTCATGTGCGTGTGTGTGTGTGTGCGTGCGCTCCACACTGTTGGCTTCGTTCAGCAGAGCTTTATCTCACTGAGAGGCACGCTGTTGCTCTCTTTAGATGGGCGCTTTCGAACAGCTGAGCGGGCCACATCGCTTATTACAAAACACAGTTTGATTTTACAATCGCAATTTTGTTATTTCCGCGTTAAATTATTTATTGCGACCACAAAACTTAGTAAACCATAATAAATAACCATTTTTTATCGGAGCATGAATAATTTGCATAACACTGAAAAGGTAGTTAGAATTTATCGGGCACCCACATACACAAGCAATTTCTGCTTACTTAGCTGACTTATCCAATACATATGTACATACATAGCTGGCGATGCATTTTGCTTGCATTATATTTTCCCTTACTGCGCCTTTTGTCAATATTTGCATGCACAGACGCGAAATTGTGTCACCAAAAAGGGAACGAACCCGACTGTACAACTCGTCGGGGGAGTTATAATAAACGTGTGTGTAGCCCCACAATATCAGCAAAATCATATTTCAGCTGTTATCAGCAATCTTTGAAAGAACGTATGTGTACTAAGTTTCTTTTATTTTTAAAATTGAAAACCCGTTCTCAGGCTGGCCTCACCTGAAGTCTCTTGATTTTAAAAATATTGCCCATGTATTGTTCTCCCAGTTCTCTCTCCAAATATGTGAGTCACCAAGTTCGATTTACCTGTTTTTAGATGTATTTGCAATTGGCAACTGCAATAATTGAGCACAACACCTTTTTTCTAACGT